GTTACTCGCACTATCGCCTAGCATTGCGTACGGGCCGAGCATGCGTGCGAAATGTCCGGTGCACTATAAATCTGTATCACACCCGTTTCGCCGTATGCGGTTTCGAAACTGTAAACAAGTCAGTCAACTGATTTCTTGGACTGCGGATTTCAATTAGACATTTCTTAGTAACCAGCAGTGATAATTGGACAAACTAATACGCGTTTCGCTATAAGGTAATGTACTTATTAACTACACAAGGTGGCCAGTTACTCTACCGTCCGTTAAAATTGCATAATCAATAAGCCTTTATGTATTTAATTGCATGTTTTTATATCCGAATTTAAAAACAAACAACTTACCTATCAAATGCAAGTTTCTACACCGGAATCGAATAACGTGGCGCCATCTATACCAAAAACGAAACGCTTATCCCGTTGACGATTTTATGATCATGAACACAGGCCACTTGGAGCGTTTTTAAAAAATATAATGCAAATAAATACGAAATCTATTTACTACTAAAATCTTAAATGTTTTTCTACTCTCTTTCACTTATATGCCGACAATTTCCTGTAAATGCCGTCCAAATGCCATCTGCAATACAAACTCTGCGCCGCCGCACGCTAGCTGCAGCTGCACACTGACACATAAATATATACCTATAATATCATATATACAGGCCCGTAGCCAGCTTTATATTGGGGGGGGAGGGTCGTTCGTTTTCAATGTTGGCAATTTGCACGGCAGGCGGGCGTGTACAGGATTTGTATCAGGGGGGTCTAACCGTAATCGAAATTTTATGAGCACGCGAAGGGGGGGTCTGGGGGCCTCCGCCAGAAAATTTTTAAATTACACCCCCCTCAGATGCCGTTTTCTGCGCGAGCAAGGGGGGGGGTCCGGACTCCCTCGACCCCCCCTGTACACGCCCTGCTCAGGCGGCGAAGCGACCAGGCGAGGGAGCAACCGACCGAGCGGGGTGGAGGTGTGGAGGGGGTGTTCACTGTTTCACCCTCCGTCACTGTTCACCCTCCCGCACGATGGAAGATTTTGCAATTATATACACTAAAATGAAGCGCCCCTGAGGTGAAATTCTTTTTTTGCTTGGGGGGGGGTTCCGTTACCTCGAACCCGCCCGAACCCCCCCCGGCCTACGGGCCTGTATATATATATATATGCATATATATATATATATGCATATATAGCTATATAAATATATAGCTATATATTTATGTGTCCGTGTGCAGCAGCTAGCGTGCGGCGGCTAGAGTGTATTGCAGATGAGCCATTGGACGGCATTTACAGGAAATTGTCGGCAATAATAGGTGAAAGAAAGTAGAGAAACATTAAGACTTTGGTAGTAAATAGATTATTTAGCATTATATTTTATTGAAACGCTCACAGTCCATGTGAGTTATATGCCAGGCGCGTAGCTGCCTTTAGGAAAAAAGGTACGTGCCTGCACATCATTTTAAAAAAAAAGTTTAAAAAAAATTATTAGCCACAGGTACTTGGAACGTCTCAATAGTAAAACACGATATGAATTAACTACCAAGGTCTTAATGTTTCTATAATTTCCTTCCCCCAATATTGCCAATAATTTTCTGTAAATGCCGTTCAAATGCTCCTCTGCAACACACAAGTTGGTATACCGCACGTACGCCGCTGTGCACAAACAACAAGAATAAAGAGAAGTAAGAATAACAAGAATAGCTCTCTCGAAAATAATAATATTTTGCAAAAATAATGCATATAAAATAAAGAGGAGCTAGGTATTCTAGCATAGATTTATATGATAAGATTCGGTCGGTAGTTCTCACTTAAGAAATAAGCAGAAGTCCATGCATGTAAGGTGCCCGCTGCATATACCAGTCAGTACACAACCTGGCTACGTTAGTGTGTTAGCGCATGCGCAATATCTCACTGGAGGAGTTATATTTTGTGATGAATACGAATTTAATATGGTTACGGGGATCTCAGCATAGATTTATGTAATAAATTATTATTAGTAGACCTGTGCTTATAATTAGGAGAGCGTTCTAGTGTAGTGACCACACTGGATTTTCTCACGCGCTGTGGTTAGCACGTGGAATTTATTTGTTTTTGGATCATTTTTCGCTCCTACCGCGAAGGTAGGACGGTGATGCAGTAGCAGGAAAACCCAGAGTGAAAGGAACGCAAGTCTTTAGATAGTCTTTATACAACTGATGGTTTTATTCATCACATACGAATAACAGAAATAACGTTCACTGTACGTATCTCAAATATAGCGTATAGATATATAATAATATATATTGCTCGTGTCACGTTTACGTTACCTCGTTAGGTGATTACACGTTTAACTTCTCTTAGCTATTCTATGGGTTAATATTGTAGCCGTCTCTGTCTCTCCCAGTCGTGTGTTCCGCGGCTCGGCGCGAGTTCGTGGGTGGGCAGTGTCTCCCCGTCGTGTGTAGGCTATAGCTCCGCGCCCCTCCCTTAGTATAGGATATACCTTCTCGGGCGTCGTCCTGCTTGTGCGAGGCTCTCCCTCCGACGGTGTGTGTGCGCTCTGGCTTGAGCGTGATTGTTCGTTCGTTCGTTCGTTCGTTCGTTCGTTCGTTCGTTTGTTTGTTCGTTCGTTCGTTCGTTCGTTCGTTCGTTCGTTCGTTCGTTCGTTCGTTCGTTCGTTCGTTCGTTCGTTCGTTCGTTCGCTCGTTCGTTCGTTCGTTCGTGGCCGTCCGAAGACTGACTGATTTTACCATTGGAACTTGGCTGCTTATATAGGGGCCTGCGATGACGTAGGAACCTGGCAGTACCTCCCTGTCCCGTGTCTCGGGTGCCTCGCCGATGTCCCCCCTCGCTTAACACGTGTACAAGTGATGCAACCCCACTTAGTCCAGTGTATGTCCGAGCGCCACACCCCCCCTGTCTGCCACGTGCTCGGCCGGCGCCGCTCTCTCTCCCTGCGCGTGTACGTGATTCCGCAACTCCCTGATCTCCCGCATCTGGTAGCCATGGGACCCCCTTCCCCCTCGCTTGTTTGTGTTGCTGGGGAAAAACTTTCTACCTCTGTTGCGGTGGCCGGTTTCTGGTTGTATGACGTCATCCACCCTGAAATCTCCACAACTCTTCAGTACCCCCCTTGAAATCTCTACAACTCCTCCCAAGTTCCAACTTCTCTTAGTATCCGCCCTCGGATACGATTTACCTTCCCTCGTCGTGTGATAGTCGTTCTTCTTCTCTGCTTTCTTTCCATTGTTACCATTATTTGTCACTGTTTCAGTCGTGCTCTCTTCAGTCCTTTACCGTGTCGTCGTCGTGCACATGTACCACAGTATTTACACTGGTGTTCTATGTCATTTCTGTACTCAGGCCAGTAGAATCTCTTTCTGAATACTAGCCCTGCTTTGTTTTTCACCTTGATGTCCTCCCGTTCGATGATAATGCAATTGTTGAAATATCTCCTTCCTCAATCCTGCAGGTATTATCAGCTGACGGATTCGATGGGTTGGTGTCACCGGTGTCTCCCACCGCCGATACAATCGTCCTTCATGTACCTCCAGTTGGTGCCTTTGCTCCCAGTAGGCTTTTGCTTCCGCTCCCATTCCTGCGATCTCAGAAAATTTAGGCCTATTTGACGCCGTTTCTATTCGTTTCTTGAAGAAGACGATAACAGGATCCTTGTCCTGTAATCTCTTAATGTTATTGGGGTGCCATATACCATGGTCCTCTCCCTCAACCTCAGGGTTTTCTGTACGATCCTCTCGCCCCTGATTCCCATCGATCATGACCAAAACGCGGCCATGTTTCTCTTCATCCTTCCATGAAGAATCATCAGTCCTCCCATTACGGCTGGGTGGTTCATCTCTACTCTTTACCTCGTCTTCCTCGTCTTCTTCTTCCGGCACGGTCGTCTCCTCCTCGCCTGTTCGTATCTCTGTCGCCAATGGTACGGTCTTCTCTGCAATCCCATGTCTGTTATTTCTCTAGGCAATTTCTCTAGGGCATTTGCCTACCCTCATACGGGATAATGCATCCGCATTCCGATGATGCTGCCCCCTCCTGTGCTCAATCACGAAGTCGTATGTATCCAGCATAGCAATCCAGCGTGCTACCATTCCTTCGGGTTGTTTAAAATTTATTAGCCAGGTTAATGAGGCATGATCTGTCCTTATCTTGAAGGGTCGTCCCCATAGATAATGGTGGTACTGCTTGACGAACACCACTATTGCTAACAGCTCTTTCTTTGTTGTACAGTAGCGTCTCTGTGAGTGGTTCAGCGTTCGACTGGCGTATGCAACCACTTTTTCTTCGCCGTCTTGCATCTGAGACAATACAGCTCCCAAGCCTGTATTGCTCGCATCTGTATCCAGTATAAACTTGTCCTCCGTCGTCGGATACGCCAATATCGGTGCTGATGTTAGCAACTGCTTGAGTTCGCTGAACGCTTGTTCCTCCTCCTCTCCCCATTTGAAGGTAACTCCTTTCTTCGTTAGTGCCGACAGTGGAGCTGCAATGGTGGAGAATCCGCGAATAAATCTCCTGTAGTAGGAAGCGAGTCCCAGAAAGCTTCGCATTTCACCAACTGACTGTGGCGCCTGCCAGTTGGTTACTGCCTCGATCTTTGCTGGGTCGCATCGCAGTCCTTCTGCTGACACCACATGTCCTAGGAAATTGACACTGGTCTGAAACAAGTGACATTTTGCCGGCTTCAGTTTCAGGTTTGCTGCTCTCAATCGGTCAAAAACCTTTTCCAGGTTTGTGAGAGTTTCTTCGAACGTTTTTCCAAAAATGATTATATCGTCAAGGTAAACCAAGCATATTCTGCTTAGCAACCCACGTAGCACTGATTCCATGAGTCGCTCAAAGGTCGCAGGCGCATTTCATAATCCAATTGGCATTACACAAAATGCCACAAATCGTCCTTTGTGGAGAACCCCGTGATATCCTTGGACTCTTCATCCATTTCTACTTGCCAGTAGCCAGCTGCTAGGTCTAATGTTGCAAACCAGTAGGCTCCGCTTAAGGCATCCAGCAGGTTGTCCATCCTGGATAGTGGGAATGCATCTTTTCGTATTACCTGATTAACTTTTCTATAGTCAACACAGAATCTAACTTCTCTGTCCTTTTTAGTCACTAATACAACCGGGGAAGCCCATGGTTCATTGCCAAGTTCAATGACTCCTTTCTTTAGCCTCTCCTCTATTTCATTATTCATGTCTGCCTGCCTATGGAAATGAACTCGGCGCGGTGGTTGCTTGATCGTTCTGGCATGTCCAGTATCGATCTTATGCTTAACGATACTCGTTCTTCCTAGGCCATCTCCTGGTCCAGCAAATATATCTCGATAGTCATACAGCGTTTTAGTGACTCGGCTTCGTTTCTCTAACTCCAGCCTCGCATCTGCTCTGTCCAGTAAATTTCTTAGGTGATCCTCAAGCTGTCCGGGTGCTATTGCATTCAGAGCGTTTACCCTCTCCTGTCCCTGCATCGTCGCTTCCTCCTCGATGGGCTTCAGTTGACCCACTTGTTGATCCTCCACCAGCAGGACAGGCCTTTCCCCTGCGTGGCTGATGACGAGGGGTACTTTCATCACTTCTCGTGGTAGCACAGTCTCCTTCAGCTGAATTCCCCGAGACTCCAGCTTCTTAAATTCTATGCTAGGTATCAGTCTTACGTTCTTGGCTGTGGATACATTCGCATCCGCGTATGTCCATCCAGGAACGCTAGAGTCGATTCCTGGCAGTATCTTGGTAGTTTCTTCTACGTAGACAGGTCGACCACCCTCTCCACCTATCCAGCATCCTTGGATGTCTTGCCCATTCAATGACAGCATCCCCGAAGCCATGTTGAAAATTGCATTGTTTGGGACAAGAAAATCAAGCCCTAATATCTCATCCAGATCTCCTAACTGTGCAACCATTACCTTTTTCTTGTAGATTCGCTCGGCGATTTCGAGGTGAACTTCAGTTTCTCCAGTGATTTCCAGCAGATCTCCATTTGCCAGCTTTAGGCCACTCTTTCCAACACTCAATTGCTGCTTTGGATGTGCCTTAATTTTATTAAATTGATCTGTATTTAATAGCGTAGCACTTGATACACTATCTACGAGGAATCTCATTTCGTATCTCTGCATCTTTACTGGCACCCTCCATGTAGGATGCAACTGTATGGATGCTGTTGAGAGTGCTGGCATCCGCTCCTGTTCTGTTGTGATTAATTTCTTACTTTTATTTTCTTTAAGCTGCTTCTCCAGTTGTTCGCCGTCAGTTTCCATATCTCCAGATCTTTTATCTATTTTATCGAAATTGAAGTGAGTAAGTCGTGTTTTACCTCTCTCCGCCGTGTGATGGACCAGGTCACCGACCCTATACCTGGTCCTTCCTAGTTTAATGATTGTTGATCTCGCATTCTTGTGGCATTTGGTAGTGTGGATTTCTTTATATTGTTGTCATGCAGTCTCTGCGGACAGGCACTCTGCATATGTCCGTTCCTTCTGCAGTAATAACACTCAATGTTTCTCATTGGCGCCATGTCCTGCGGTAACCTTGCCATTCCTCTTATAGGTAGGTATGGTGTGCCTTGACCTGACCCTTGACCCTTTCTCCAACCACTGTTTTCACGCAGTCTCTCCTGACTCTCGGTTTCACCCCTCATCTTCCCTATTTCTTGCTTTAGATGCCATACCTCATCTCGCAGTTGGTTAAGTAGGCTTGATGTTTGATCTGTTGGCTGTACCACAGCTCGTACATGATAACTCTTGTCTGGTGGTGGCTTCCTGCTATGTACAGTTTCTCTCGTTACTGCTTCGAACTGGGCTACTCGGGTGATAGCCTCATCCATTGTTGTCGGTTGTTGAAGGAGTACATAGCGCTGAATCTCCGTATCTCCCAGACCTTTCAGGTACTTATCGAGCAGGATCTCCTCAAATTGATGACCGATCATTCCCGGGTATGCGCGATTAAACAGCTGTCGCACAACGGCTCCGTATTCTTCAGGAGTTTCTTCCCCTCTCCGGTTCCTGTTGCGTAACTCGCTTCGATGTACGTGCTTCCGCTCTGCGAGATTGAATCTTCGTTGCAGGCAAGAAATAATCTGCGTATAGCTGGTTTGCTGTGATCGAGGCATTTCAATCATGGCTTCCAATGCTTCGGCTTCCAGACATAATCCTAGCTCTATGCCCCATGTCTCTTCTGTCCAGTTGTTGTAGGTAGCCGTCATGACAAATTTACCCAGGAACTGTTTTAAAGCAGTTCCGTCTCCTTTCCGAAATGTTGGCGCCTTCCGTTCCTTTCTAGGTGTGCTGCTATGACGTGGCATTGTCGGGCGGGAGTCGTCCCCCATGCGTGTGCACTGCTTTTCCACGTCGTTAGGATAGGCAGATATTTCATCGTTCTGCCCGGCTGTATCCGACTCTTCTTTTTTCGTCTTGCGTGACATGTTGCTAGAAGCAGGCATTGCTTGTCCGGCTACATGCGGAGTGTCATCGCCGTCCTCTGAGCCTGCCCAAGAATATCGCGTGAATTTCGGACTAGGTCTGCTTCGTTGACTGACTGGGCTACCCCAGTTTACTTCGAGGCTCTCCCTAGACCCTCCTCCATGATGCGGGGTTGTGTAGAGCTGCTCCTCGTTTTCTATCGAGCTCTCCTGTCCGGTAGCGTTTAGTGCTTTTCTCCAACCTGTGCCGGTACCGTTAAAGTGTAGATCCGCGGGTGTATCGAATATCGGCGGTGATCCTGCTCCCCCTCGTGCAATGACCTCGTCCGCCGCCTCGCTCAGCTGTCCCGCGCGTGATAACGCATTACGCTCGGCCGCTGGCCGCTGCGTTCTGTTATCACGTTCGGCCGCTGCCTGCCACGTTCGTACAGGTTCTATACGTACTGGGCTGGGAGCCTGGGAGTGAAGCAATTTCTCAGCCTCGCCACTAAGTTATCCATTACTATACTAGACTATAACAATTTCACTCTGGTATTACTCTTTCCTGCTACTATTGCATGCGAAAATCCCGGACGAGCCCCCAAAAATCCTGTAGTGGCCCTAGAGGTGACCACACTGGATTTTCCCACGCGCTGTGGTTAGCACGTGGAATTTATTTGTTTCGGAATCATTTTTCGCTCCTACCGCGAAATAGTGCCGTCTGCTTTCCATGTTTAGTCTGCGATCCCCCCATAGTGTTGGCCCCCAACACAGCCTACTTCATTATCACGAGCGTCCGTGATTCGTACGTGGATTCCACGTTCATTACAATCAGAGCAACTGTTACGTATACAGTTACGGTACTGCACTATCGCTAGCATTGCGTACGGCCGAGCATGCGTGCGAAAATGTCCGGTGCACTATAAATCTGTATCACACCCGTTTCGCCGTATGCGGTTTCGAAACTGTAAACAAGTCAGTCAACTGATTTCTTGGACTGCGGATTTCAATTAGACATTTCTTAGTAACCAGCAGTGATATTGGACAAACTAATACGCGTTTCGCTATAAGGTAATGTACTTATTAACTACACAAGGTGGCAGTTACTCTAACCGTCGTTAAAATTGCATAATCAATAAGCCTATTATGTATTTAATTGATGTTTTATATCCGAATTTAAAAACAAACAACTTACCTATCAAATGCAAGTTTCTACACCGGAATCGAATAACGTGGCGCCATCTATACCAAAAACGAACGCTTATCCGTTGACGATTTTATGATCATGAGAACCACAGGCACTTGGAGCGTTTTAATAAAATATAATGCTAAATAAATACGAAATCTATTTACTACTAAAATCTTAATGTTTTTCTACTCTCTTTCACTTATTATTGCCGACAATTTCCTGTAAATGCCGTCCAAATGCTCATCTGCAATACACTCTGGCCGCCGCACGCTAGCTGCAGCTGCACACTGACACATAAATATATACCTATAATATCATATATACAGGCCCGTAGCCAGCTTTATATTGGGGGGGGGAGGGGTTCGTTTTTCAATGTTGGCAATTTGCACGGCAGGGGCGTGTACAGGATTTGTATCAGGGGGGGTCTAACCGTAATCGAAATTTTATGAGCACGCGAAGGGGGGTCTGGGGGGCCCTCCGCCAGAAAAATTTTAAAATTACACCCCCTCAGATGCGTTTTCTGCGCGAGCAAGGGGGGGGGGTCCGGACTCCCTCGACCCCCCCTGTACACGCCCCTGCTCAGGCGCGAAGCGACCAGGCGAGGGAGCCAAGCGACCGAGCGGGTGGAGGGTGTGGGAGGGGGGTGTTCACTGTTCACCCTCCCGTCACTGTTCACCCTCCCGCACGATGGAGATTTTGCAATTATTACACTAAAATGACCCTAAATGAAGGCGCCCTGAGGTGAAATTCTTTTTTTGCTTGGGGGGGGTTCGTTCGAACCCCCCGAACCCCCCCCGGCTACGGGCCTGTATATATATATATATGCATTATATATTATATATATGCATATATAGCTATATAAATATATAGCTATATATTTATGTGTCGCGTGTGCAGCCAGCTAGCGTGCGGCGGCTAGAGTGTATTGCAGATGAGCCATCTGACGCATTTACAGGAAATTGTCGGCAATAATAGGTGAAGAAAGTAGAGAAACATTAGACTTGGTAGTAAATAGATTATTTAGCATTATATTTTATGAAAACGCTCACAGTCCATGTGAGTTATATGCCAGACGCGTAGCTGCCTTTAGAAAAAAGGTACGTGCCTGCCACATCATTTTAAAAAAAAGTTTTAAAAAAATTATTAGCACAGGTACTTGAACGTCTCAATAGTAAAACACGATATGAATTAACTACCAAGGTCCTTAATGTTTCTATAATTTCCTTCCCCAATATTGCCAATAATTTTCTGTAAATGCGTTCAAATGCTCCTCTGCCAACACACAAGTTGTATACCGCACGTACGCCGCTGCTGCACAACAACAAGAATAAGAGAAGTAAGAATACAAGAATAGCTCTCTCGAAAATAATAATATTTTGCAAAAATTATGCATATAAAATAAAGAGACTAGGTATTCTAGCATAGATTTATATGATAAGATTCGCGTCGGTAGTTCTCACTAAGAAATAAGCAGAAGTCCATGCATGTAAGGTGTGCCCGTGCATATACCAGTCAGTACACAACCTGGCTACGTTAGTGTGTTAGCGCATGCGCAATATCTCACTGGAGGAGTTATATTTTGTGAATGAATACGAATTTAATATGGTTACGGGGATCTCAGCATAGATTTAATGAAAATTATTATAGTAGACCTGCTGCTTATAATTAGGAGAGCGTTCTAGTGTAGTGACCACATTGGATTTTCTCACGCGCTGTGGTTAGCACGTGGAATTTATTTGTTTTTGGATCATTTTTCGCTCCTACCGCGAAGGTAGGACGGTGATGCAGTAGCAGGAAAACCCAGAGTGAAAGGAACGCAAGTCTTTAGATAGTCTTTATACAACTGATGGTTTTTATTCATCACGTACGAATAACAAAATAACGTTCACTGTACGTATCTCAAAATAGCGTATAGATATATAATAATATATATTGCTCGTGTCACGTTTACGTTACCTCGTTAGGTGATTAGCCGTTATAACTTCTCTTACTATTCTATGGGTTAATATTGTAGCCGTCTCTGTCTCCCCATCGTGTGTTCCGCGGCTCGGCGCGAGTTCGTGGGTGGCAGTGTCTCCCGTCGTGTGTAGGCTATAGCTCCGCGCCCTCCCCTAGTATGATATACCTTCTCGGGCGTCGTCCTGCTTGTGCGAGGCCTCTCCTCCGACGGTTGTGTGCGCTCTGGCTGTAGCGTGATTGTTCGTTCGTTCCGTTCGTTCGTTCGTTCGTTTCGTTTTGTTGTTCGTTCGTTCGTTCGTTCGTTCGTTCGTTCGTTCGTTCGTTCGTTCGTTCGCTCGTTCGTTTCGTTCGTTCGTGGCCGTCCGAAGACTGACTGATTTTACCATTGGAACTTGGCTGCTTATATAGGGGCCTGCGATGACGTAGAACCTGGCAGTACCTCCCTGTCCGTGTCTCGGGTGCCTCGCCGATGTCCCCCTCGCTTAACACGTGTACAAGTGATGCAACCCCACTTAGTCCAGTGTATGTCGAGCGCCACACTCCCCTGTCTGCCACGTGCTCGGCGCGGCGCCGCTCTCTCTCCCTGCGCGTGTACGTGATCCGCAACTCCCTGATCTCCGCATTGGTAGCCAATGGGACCCCTTCCCCCTCGCTTGTTTGTGTCGCTGGGGAAAAACTTTCTACCTCTGTTGGCGGTGCCGGTTTCTGGTTGT